AACCGGGGAAGGCTGAGCCTTGTCAGACACACTGAGCTCTGCTTCTCTATCCTGGACACACATGGAAGGGGTGCTGTTTGGTTTGCCAAATAATACCTTTGCCATCCAGGCAGCTCTTACCACAGGCAATTCCTCCCTGCTGCAGCCTTGGTGCCGCTGGTGCTTTACGGCCTGGGGTTGGGAAGTAACTTCCCTGGATATCCCATACAGTGACCACGTCACATGCCATGCACATGCATCACACCAGCAGCACCTCCAGCACCCTTGGAGGCAGACTGGACCCAAAGGAGGTGATAATACAGAGGTAAACACAGGTTTTGGCAGAGTCCTGCATGGGCTCAAGCTGGCCTTAGCCCACGAACACCAGCAGAGCCCACCAGAACCTGAGCTGCACTGATGTGGTAACACCCCCCCTTTGCAGCACAGATGCACCAGAGATAACTTTGCCTCTGCAGCAACCTGTAAGCTCAAGGACTGCATTTTTTACTGTGCCAGACAGAGCAGGTTGTAGCCATCCACCAGGCATGAGAGTCTGGTATACAACGCAGCCCAGAGCAGGATGTGGGGAGCCCTGACTACACTGCCAGCTAGCGGGGCTGGGGGTCGTACCGGAGGTCTCCAGTGTGCTTGCGCATGTGGACATTCAGGTAGTGCTTCCACTTGGTGATGTACCCGCACTCGGTACACATGAAGTTCTTGTCGTTGGAGTGGGTCAGCATGTGCTTGGACAGGTAGCTCACATCCCGGCACGTGAAGTCACAGAGCTCGCACTTGTGAGGTTTCTCTCCTGCAAGCAACACGGGAATACCCTCAGCAAGACACCCGGATAAGGCAGCACAGGTGTCCTTCCCCTGTGGGGAAACCAGCTCAGCAGGAGCCGGGGGGTAACAGCAGTGATGAGGGCATGCCACAACTTCAGCCAAGTGATGCTAGGGTGGTAGAGCCAGTGATGGGACTCAGCAGCCCTGATCCAGCCCTCCCTGCCCACTCAGAGCTGAGGCAAACCGCCCCCCCCCCCATCCCAGCTCAGCTCTCAGGACCCCCGCAGTGGACACCCACCAGTGTGCAGCAGCATGTGCCGGATCAGCACCCTCTTGTGTGCGGTGGCAAAGGTACACTCCGTGCACTTGTGGATCTTCTCGTTGGCATGCATTTTTCCCACGTGGTCGTGAAACTCCACAGGGTTGAACGTGGCATAGGGGCAGAAGCTGCACTGGAGCTGCTCGCTGCCCGGGTGCCCCTGCTTCTTGTGCTTGCGGAAAACGTGCTTGTTGGAGCAGATGAAGTCGCACTGCTGGCAGTGGAAGGCGTAGTGGGTTTTTCGGTGAGCCTCCATGGCCTCAGCCGTGCCAAAGAGCAGCGAGCAGGCATGGTACTTGCACTCTACCGCCTTGATGCCATGAGCATCCTTGAGGTGACGGACAAATTCCTTCCGGTCCTCTGCACAGTAGTCACAGTCGCTCTGGAAGCAGCTCAGCCTCTTGGGCTCGGCTTTGTGAGTCTTTAAGTGCTCTTTGAGGGCCTGGCTGAGACGAAACTTCTCCTCACAGACAGGGCAGGAGTAAACATCAGAGTAGAAGTTGGAGATGTCCTCATGCATGCTGGCCATATGGCGGTTGAGGGCGTTCTTCTCCACCGAGCTATAGTGGCAGAGTGGACAGCGGTGGGCCTTCTCCCCCGTCTCCCGCATCATGTGGATTTTCAGCTTGCTTTTGCTGGTGAAGTACTTGTGACAGTTGGGGCACTGCAGGCTGGGGTCAGGGAAGTGCAGGTGGAGGTGCTCCACCAGGTGTGTCCGCTTCTTGAAGCACCGCTTGCATTCGGGGCACATGTGGGTTTTGTACAGGTACTCGGAGCCCTCTGCAACATCCCCTGAGAGAGCAAAGGAGGGGGAGCCATCAGTAGGGAAAAGACATAGAAGAGGAGAGGCAGATGTTCTGTCCCTGATCCAGCTGTGCCAGGGTGAGGACTTATCATATACACAGTCATACAACAGCCATTTACTTGGAGGGACTGTTCCCACCCCAAGCCAACAGCATGTTTCGGGTGGGCTCTTTCCAGCTCAGCACTGGCAAAGATGATCCAGCGCAGCCTGAATCAGGTCTGCCCATGTGCCCCCACTCCCCCAGCCAGCCAGGCTTTTGCCTGGTTTTGCCTGAGCCTGGAAGCAGCCAAGGATGAGCTACAAGAGAAGAAGGGACATGTTTGCTTGGGCAGAGGGCAGGAGAGCTGGGGGAACAGTGCACTGGTACATGCAGGCAACATGGGGCTGCTGGATGGCACAGGACCTCCACATCCCACCAGCCCTGCCCACGTCTCCTTGCCAGTCTCCAGGCCATGCTGCTTGTTCATAATACAAAGCCCAAGTGGCCCCTGGTGTGGTCCCACATCCTACCTTTGAAGCGCTGAGCCCGTGGCACTCTGGCTTTCTTGGGAGCTGCCTTCCCTTCCTCTTTGGCCTCATCTTCACAGTGGCTCTCACCATCCTCCTCTGATGACTCCTCCCCACCACTGTCCGAGTCCTCTTCTCCAGCTGATGTTTTCTGCCCCTCCAAGGAGTCCTCCCCAGTGCCTGTGGGCTTTGCTGGCCTGGCTTCTGCTGTGGTGGCTTCCCAGCCAGAGTGGCAATTCCCCACCTCCTCCTGCCCTTCTGCTGCTGCTTCAGTGGGGAAAGAGAGAGATCATCATGCTCCAGGCAAGAGGGAGACACTCCCCCTCACCCACACACGTGGAAAAAACCTCCCAGCTGAGATCAGGGCACAAGCTGTGCAGCAGGGAGAAAGAAGGGCTCGTGGCCACCTGGCACCACAGCTTCACCCCCAATTCTTCGATTGGTAACTGGGATGCGTGGACACAGTCAGCCTCTGCAGCACCCACAGGCCCCCCCACCCAGCCGTACCTGATGGCAGGACGCAGCTCTGCTGTTCGAGGCCGTGGGTGGCCGATCCAGGTGGGCTGCCTGTCACAGCCACCTCGTCGGGGGGCTCTGCAGCGTGGCCCTTCCTGTGCTGCCAGAAAAGCTTAGCATTGGCCGTGACGAAGTCGCAGTGGCTGCAGTGGAAAGGGAAGTGGGTGCGGTGGTGCTGCTCCATGGCCGGGCGGCTGGGGAAGAGCAGCGGGCAGGCACGGTAGGCACAGGACACAGGGGAGGCCCCATGCAGGCGGCGCAGGTGGCCACGTAGTTGCTTGCGGTCCTCCGTGGTGAAGCAGCAGCCCTTCTCGGGGCAGGACAGGGCTCCCGGTGGGGTGCGGTGGGTCTTGAAGTGCTCTTTGAGGTCACTGGGCTGCATGAATGCCTCCTGGCAGATGGGGCACAACAGGCACTCAGGAAAGGAGCCCTCCTGCGTGCTGACTCTTGGTAGCTCCGAGCCTCCTGGCTCGCTCTGGCCCTCGCTAGCAGAAGCCAACAGTCGCCCAGGGAGCTCCAGGTGCCCTGGTGGGGCCAGCAGCAGGCACTGGTGCTGGGACAGCAGGGAGGCCTCCGGGAAGCTCTGGCTACACCTCTCGCAGAAATACAGCTCCACCACTTTGACCAACACCTCTACAAAGACCAAGGGGCAAGCATTAGAAACGGCTTTCACAAGGCCCAGAGCCTGGGATCAGTTCCAGCTTCCAACAAGGAGGATAAACCTTACTTTACAGAGTGGAGAACCGCAGCCATCCCCTGTCCAGGGTACCCCAGGACACCTCCCATATGAGAGGGGGCACCATCACCTAGGTGGTCATGATGACCAGGTCTGTCCCTTAGCACCTCTGAGGGATGCAGAGATGTGAGGCCAGCTCACCCCTGTTCTTAGCAGGATATGCCCATACTGGATCCAGGTGAGAAGCCTGCTGGGCGCAGCAGCCCGAGGTGGAGATCTCCACCTGGTCCCTACTGAGAGCCCCAAGAGACCCCCTTACCCGGCATGCAACTCCCACAGCCACCCCTCCCCATCCACACACCCAGCTTGTGACAGGCCTACACTGAATGGTAGCACCACACCCATGATGCACAAGGGATCAGAGACAGGAGGGCACCATGGTGTCCTCAGGGTGCCAGCTAGAAGGGGACGGGGACCCTAGCCAGACTTTTCTTCCTCTGCTGAGTACCACAGGGCCCACACTGCCCTCCCTGCAACCCGTACCTGTGGCATTGGCTGTGTTGCTCAGTGTCACGTTGCCAGCCACTGCCTCGATGAATATTTCCACATTGCTTCCTTCAGCGTGAGCCCCTTCCCCAGGCATCGACGCCTCTGCCAGCAGCAAGTCCTGGCTAGCAGTCAGAGGGGGTGTCCCAGCCAGGCTGGCGCTGGCTGCACCAGGGCTTCCCACAGCTCCTGCCTCTCCTGGTGCGGGCGGGAGCAGCTCCGAGCACAGGACCTCCATCTCCCTGCCGGTACCCTCAGACACAGCCACTTCTGCACTCATTGCCATTGAGCACTGGCTCGGTGCCGGGCCAGAGGGTCTCTCACTCTGAAACAGAAGAAAGTGCTTTAAGCCCAGAGGCCCAGGGGTCCTACAGGATTTTGGGGGACAGCCTGCGGTGCCGGTCCTCAGGCAGGGGTATGAACTAGAGCATCGGAATACTGTCTCCCATCTGCTGTAACCTGAGTGGGCAAAACCCACTGCCACAGAGGTGCAGGGACTCCCGTACCCTCCTGAAGGGCTCAGGGAGAGGCCCCCGGGGGTCTAACAGCCAGAGCTTCCTCCCCGGGCCCAAGTGCGCTCAGATCCGGGACTAGGTCCCCCCCCCCGCCCCCAAAACCCGGGCTCAAATGGGCCCCAGCCCAAGCCCAACCCCCAGCCTCGGGCCCAGCCTCCAACGAGGAACTGCCCACCGCGAGTCCCCGCACGGCCGGAGCGTGGCCGGCCTGGCCCAGCCCCCTCGCCCCGGCCTGTCCCTGTCACCCCGGGCCGGGGGTGTCAAGCCGGGTGGTGAAGCCTCCAGCCCCGACACATCTCGGTGGTGCACGCCGGGCGGGAGGGAGCGCCGCCCTTTGTGCGGCCGGCGCGGCCGCTCTGCTCTGTCCCGGCCGCCCGGCACGGCCCCGCTCTATGGTGCCAGCCGGCGGTCGGCCGGAAGCGGCGCCGGGCGGAAGTGAGGGTCGGGGCCATAGAGAGCGGCGCGGGGCGGGCCAGAGCGGCGCTGCGCGGCGGCGAGGTGAGGCGCGGCGGCGGGGCCGGGGCTCTACCGTGGGGGTAAGGGGAGCGGACGGGGTCTGGGTCCCTGCTGTGGGGCTAGGCCGGTGTGGGTTATTGTTTGCAGACGATACCAAGCTGTGTGGTGTTGTCGATACACCAGAGGGACGGGATGTCATCCAAAAGGACCTGGACAGGCTGGAGAGGTGGGCCCAGGTGAACCTCATGAGGTTCAACGAGAGCAAATGCAAGGTTCTGCACCCGGGCCGGAACAATCCTCACCATCAGTACAGGCTGGGGGGTGAGGTATTAGAAAGCAGCCCTGAGGAAAGGGATTTGGGGGTTCTGGTGGATGAGAAGCTGGACATGAGCAGGCAGGGTGCAGTTGCAGCCCAGAAGGCCAATCGCATCCCGGGCTGCATCAAAAGATGCATTGCCAGCAGGTCCAGAGAGGTGATTCTGCCACTTTACTCTGCTCTGGTGAGACCTCACCTGGAGTATTGTGTGCAGGTCTGGAGCTCTCAATATAAGAAGGACATGGACCTGATGGAGCGGGTCCAGAGGAGGGCCACAAGGATGATCAGGGGGATGGAGCACCTCTGCTACGAGGACAGGCTGAGGGAGCTGAGTTCAGCCTGAAGAAGAGGAGGCTCCGGGGAGACCTAATAGCAGCCTTCCAGTACCTGAAGGGAGCCTACAGGAAGGCTGGGGAGAACCTGTTTAGAAAGGCCTGCAGTGACAGGACGAGGGGCAATGGCTTCAAGCTGGAGGGGAACAGATTTAGACTGGAGATTAGGAGAGGGTTCTTCACTGTGAGGGTGGTGGAGCACTGGAACAGGTTGCCCAGGGAGGTGGTTGAGGCCCCTTCCCTGGAGATATTCAAGGTGAGGCTCGATGAGGCCCTGGGCAACCTGGTCTAGTTGGGGGTGTCCCTGCTGACTGCAGGGGGGTCGGACTAGATGACCTTTGGAGGTCCCTTCCGGCCTGGACAATTCTATGATTAAATTCTATGACCCATCCAGGGTGCCTCACTGGGGAGATCGTCATCTCCAGTATCATTTGCCTCATCCCCAAAATCCAGAACTCCGAACCTATTTTGCAAATGTAACTGGGAGTGTGAAGGAGGCTGTCGAGGGTTCCGCTTGCCTCTCTGAGGAAGGACCAGCCTCCATTCCCCCCTTTCCATTAAGTCCCATCTCTGCCTGGTGACAGGGCGGGAGGGGATCATCAGCTTTTATTAGAGCCTCTTCTCACTGCCCTTGCCCCAGGGTACGGCTCCACCAGTCTATTTCACCCTCGCATTCTCTAATGCTTCTTAACCTTTCCACTTCTTCTCTCAGCTCTACCACCTGTCTGAGCAGGTCATTTATCTGCTCACATCGCACACAGTGGGTGTCCCCGGGTCCCTGTGCTGCCACAGCCAGACTCAGGCACTCGGTGCAGCCCGGGCCCTGCATGGCCGCGTCTTTGCAGGGGAGCTCGGTCTGGGATCCCACATTTCAATTCACAGGGGCTTTGGGGCCTTTGGTTGCCAGTCCCTTTTTTGAGCCTGAGCGGTCCATTCCCTCTCAAACCCTCCCTCTCTGTCTTGCGCACAAGCCCCGCTCCGCCCCCTCACTCCGATGCCGCTCCTACACCTGAGGGCCGCTTCCCTCACGCACGTGCGCCTGCGCGCTCAAATACCCGCCCTGCCGCTCACGCGCGCCCCGCACGCGCTCGGAGCCCGTTGCGGTTATGGCCGCTTTTAAATGTGCCGCGGCTCGCCCGCGAGATTCCCGAATGGGTCCGGGTCTCCCCGCTCTCCCTTCGGCTTCCCGTCTCCCGGAAACCCCCTCTCCGTCTTACTCTAGATCACGTTTAAAGCCGCAGCACTCACCGCTGCCGCTGTCCGCGCGGTCTGAGGGAAGCTCGCGGTATGGCCGCTTTTAAATTTGCCGCGGCTCGCCCGGCCCCGTCCCCAGCTGCGTCCCGGCTCCCTCGCGAGATTCCCGACTGGCTTCGGGTCTCCCCGCTCTCCCTCGGCTTCCCGTCTCCGGGAACCCCCCTCTCCGTCTCAGTCTAGATCACGTTTAAAACCGCAGCACTCACCGCTGTCGCTGTCCGCGCGGTCTGAGAGAAGCTCGCGGTATGGTCGCTTTTAAATTTGCCGCGGCTCGCCCGGCCCTGCACGGAGCTGCGTCAGCCTCTCGGCTCCCTCGCGAGATTCCCGACTGGCTTCGGGTCTCCCCGCTCGCCCTCGGCTTCCCGTTTCCGGGAAACCCCCTCTCCGTCTCAGTCTAGTTCAAGTTTAAAGCCGCAGCACTCACCGGTGTCGCTCTCCGCGGGGTCACCTTAAGAACCAGCCTTGATAAAGAACAGGGAGCTGCTGGTGATACTGCTGCCATTCAGTCCTTCTCTTTCCTCGCAGGTTTGTTTCTGGAGTGATGCTGTGGAAAGGACCCACTTAACCTCCCACAATGCCCTTTTCTGACTTTGTCTTAGCACTGAAGGACAACCCCTACTTTGGGGCTGGGTTCGGCCTCGTCGGGGTGGGCACAGCCCTGGCGTTAGCCCGGAAAGGGGCCCAGTTTGGGCTGGTGGCTTTCAGGCGCCATTATATGATCACCTTAGAGGTGCCCAGCAAGGATAAGAGCTACCACTGGCTGCTGAACTGGATCTCCCACCACGCCAAGCACACGCAGCACCTCAGTGTCGAGACATCCTACCTGCAGCATGAAAGCGGACGTGTCAGCACCAAGTTTGACTTTGTCCCCAGCCCTGGAAACCATTTCATCTGGTAAGGGAGGGCTGGGGAAGGCAGTCTGGAGTCTGACCCTTGTTTTGGCAAGGAAACTCCAACCTGGGAGGTCTGGGGAGGGAGTGGAGAGGATCCTGCCTCTTCCTTAGGTCTGGATAAGGGTGGGAGATTGAAAGTACTGACACAAAGTGATTTCTTTACCCGAGATGAGTGTTCCCCTTAATGCACAACCTGGGCTGGGCTCAGCTGAGTGATGCTGGACCACCATCCCCCAATCCCCTCTTCCCACCCCAGGTATCGCAGGAAGTGGATTCGCATCGAGCGCAACCGGGAGAAGCAGATGATCGACCTGCACACAGGGACCCCCTGGGAGTCTGTCACCTTCACTGCACTGGGCACCAACCGGGAGATCTTCTTCAATATCCTCCAGGAAGGTCTGTACTGGAGTTATGTGGGGACCTGCTGGGAAACAGCCTGCTCCCTGGAGATGCCCAGGCCTTCACGGAAGATCCTTTTCCCTGCCAGCTGTCCCCTTTGCCTCTCTCTGCAGCCCGGGAGCTGGCGCTGCAGCAGCAGGAGGGGAGGACGATCATGTACACGGCCATGGGAGCAGAGTGGCGGCAGTTTGGCTTCCCCCGCCGTCGCCGACCTCTCAGCTCCGTGGTGCTGGAGGAAGGTGTGTCAGAGAGGCTGGTCCAGGACGTGAAGGAGTTCATCGACAACCCCAAGTGGTACAGCGAGAGAGGCAAGGCTCTGGCGCGCTGTCTTCTGTATCATGCCCAGCATTGCTCCTTCCCCCCCTACAGCCACTGTTGTGGGGCACTGCCTCAGGCACATCCCCAGGTGTTGAGGTCCTGCCTGGGTCTGCAAAGGGACAAACTCCTCTTGGTTCAGTCCAAACCCGGAAACCATCATAAGCCATGGAGTTCATTGCTCCTGCAGTGCTGCTGTGGGGTGGGACAGGATGCCCATGGTCCTCTCTGGAGATGGCTGTGGGGAGATTCTGTCCTGCTGCTTGCCCTCCCTGGTGCATTCTCTGTGCATGCTCAGCGCAGCCCCACGGCTCTTGGGGAGAGAGCTCAGAGCAACCCAGCTGGTTCCTAAAAGGACACTGTCTTCCTAGGGATCCCCTACCGAAGAGGTTACCTGCTGTATGGTCCACCCGGCTGTGGGAAAAGCAGCTTCATGTGAGTATTGCCCAGCTGGGTAACAGCAGTTTTCCTGTCAGCTGCCTGTTCTGGGGCACAGCCGTCTGGTGAGAGGATGTGGATGAGTTTGGGTTTGCAGTGCAGGAGTAGGCTGTGCCTCCTGCCTGCACGGTGCCTGCTGAGGCGTTTGCATTGCTGGCACCGTGTGACAGGTCAGGGTGACAAGCCCTTTGCATCCTTGCTTTGCACAGTGCTGCATGGCACCAGGGGGCTGCACAGGGGCTCCCACCCGCCCCCCATATCAGATCCCTGCTGGGGGAGGATGCCTCTGCCCTCTCCCCTGCTGCTGGGCAGGGAGCTGTGGTTCTTCTTCTGCTCCAGGGTTTCTCGCTGTGATTTATTCCTGTGGTTTGTGTCCTTCCCAGCACAGCCCTGGCCGGGGAGCTGCAGTACAGTATCTGCCTGCTGAGCCTCAGTGACCGCAGCCTCTCTGATGACCGGCTCAATCACCTCTTGAGCGTGGCACCACAGCAGAGCATCATCCTGCTGGAGGACGTGGATGCTGCCTTCGTCAGTCGGGACCTTGCCGCTGAGAGTGAGTGGTGGCCCCGTTCCCAGGCCAGCAGCAGGAGGGAGGTTTGCCAGCTGTGCTGGGGAAAAGGTTTGGGCTTCGGGCTGCTCTGCTGCACCAGCAGAGACCAGGAGTGGGCAGCTCTCTGGGGCCTCAGGGCCCAAGCTGGACCTCGCCCAGTTTTGGCTAGGAAATAGAAGGAAATTTGGGTTCTTTGTCCTTAGGCAAAGACACTTCTGCCCAGCTGTTTCAGTGTGAGAGAGGCAGTGGCTTTCCCCCTCATTCTCCTATGGATTCCCAGGGGTGCGGGTGGGCCGGGGAGGTGAATGTGCTGCCGGCCAGGGATAGGCAGAGGGTCAGCCTCAGGGGAAGGAGAGAACAGGGAGCTTGGCTTAAGCCTCAGGTGACAGGGAGGTGGCCTGCAAGACTGTTGTGGGGTTAGTGGCCAATGAATATGATCTCAGACACCTCTATCCCCAGACCCGGCTGTGTACCAAGGTATGGGGCGCCTCACCTTCAGCGGCCTCCTCAACGCACTGGACGGTGTGGCCTCCACGGAGGCCAGGATTGTCTTCATGACCACCAACTACGTGGACAGGTCAGAGCACACTATGGGAGGGAACAAGGGAGGGCAGCATGGGAGAACCTTGCTCCCTTTTGATGACCTATATGGATGGCTATTTGCATCCTCCAGTGTAAGGACTGGGGTGGGGTTCAGGTTTCCCAAATCCTCCCTCGCGATGCAAATCCCTTGATCTCTACTCGGGATCCCCTTATATTACCCAATGACCCCTCCCCACCCGGGATGGGAAATTGGAGGAAAAATAAGGAAACCCTCATTTTTGGGTTGAAATATAAACAGATTTAATAGAATAAGACTAGATAATTGACATTAATAACATTAAAGAACCAATATTGATCCCAATACCAATATAAGGTATTTATAAGGATTATACTCAGCCAGTTCTATCAGCAGGGAGCTGTGCACTCTCAGCAGTGGACAGCAAATGCCGGACAATGTGAGCTCTATGGCTTTGGGAGGAAGGGAAGGGCTCAGAGGACCAGGGCAAGAAGCTCTCTGGATTGCGGCCATTAAGGGAGAGAGAGAACTTCTGAGCAAACTTCCTAATTTTTATTGAAAATTAAGTTTAGCCTGCACCTGGCTAAACTTGAAAACACTGAGACCTTGAAACACACATACCATAGCTGGCTATAAAGTAATTTTTTTTCACAAATTCAGACACCAGTCTTCTAAAAGTGCAGTTTCCCCAAGCATTAGAAGAGAAATTAGTCCTGTGTCGCTCAAAGCAGGACACTGTGCTAAGGTGGAGGGTGGAGCTTCCTGCTTTGACCATGTTTTCAAGGCGCCCCTGTGTCTCTCGACAGGCTGGACCCAGCGCTGGTGCGGCCCGGCCGCGTGGATCTCAGGCAGTACGTGGGCCATTGCTCCCGCTGGCAGCTCGCCTGCATGTTCCAGCGCTTCTACCCCGAGCAGCCCCCGGCCGCAGCCCAGCGGTTTGCGGAGCAGGCTCTGGCCGTCTCCAAACAGATCAGCGCCGCCCAGGTGCAGGGCCACTTCATGCTCTACAAGACGGACCCTGAAGGTGCCATTTCAAACGTAGGCTCCATCCTGCTCTGACCAGGGGCCGGCTTTCCCCTGCCACGCTGCAAGGATTGGGACAAGGACCATCCTGGGGATGCTGTGGAGATGCCCAGCCATGCAGGCCAGGTCTCTGTTTACCTCTTCTCACCAAGGTCTTGGCTTTTTATTAAAACTTGTGGAGAGCCAGAGCTGCCAGCTCTGCAGCAGGAAGAGGGGATGGGCTCTTGCTGCTCCCCAGGCTCGGGTGCTCCTGTGGTGGCCCCGCTCACCAGCATGTGCCTCCTGCTGGGATTGCCATTAAGCTGCTGAGGCTCCTGGATGTGAATCCCCTTCCTCGTGGGGCAGTCTGGGATGCCCCAGATGGGCATTTCCCTGGGGCAGGACATTGGGGTGCTGCACTGCTAAAGAGATGCTGGTCTTTGAAGGGAGAATGGTCTCCACTGGTGTTTAAATATCCTCTGTGAAGTGCACAACATGGCTTTTGTTGGCTCTCCAGTCCCTTCGCCTGTTAGTTTCCCCACTATCCTGCTACTGGTCCAGAGCCCTCCTGACCAGAGCCTGGCACAGCCAGTACTGCAAATCCAGAGTTTCAGAAAAAAGCAGCTCCCAGGAGACAGCTTGTTGTCCCTCGGTCTGCAGGCTGGTGCCACAGCTCCTGACCTGCTGGGTTGTGATGCCAAGTCACAGATCTTCTTGGTTATCATCCCTGGGTGGGCATGACTGTCCCTCCTGTGAGGGGAGATGTGGGGGCCTGGAGCTACTGCAGGCCTGTGTGCGGGGGCCGATGAGAGGCTTTGGGAGTTTGATGTTAACCCCAACATGAATTTCTGCAGCCAGGCCATTCCAGTGTGAGCTGCAGAAATCCCTGTTGGAGGTGACTACTCATCTCCTTCTAGCAGGTGAGGCCCTGCATGGCCAAAGGAGGGATTTGGCCTGCTGGTGGCAGTCTTGCAGCCTTTTCCCTGTCACCAGGCTTCCTTCCTGCCAGGAATAAAAGTCCTGGATGGGCTGGTAGAGCCACAGGTGCCTGAAATGCAATGGAGAAGGGGGAAGGCTCTGTACCTCCAGTGCTGCACCTCTCCACTGCCACAGAGCCAGGGATCAGGGTGTCTGTGCTGACCCACAGAACAAGCCAACCAGAGCCTCTCCTCTCCCTAGTCCCTGTTTCAGGGTCCCAAAATCAGCTTCCCCAGGGCCAGCCCTGTGTTCATGTCCTTGCTTTGGGCACTGTGTCATCTTGACAGGGCTGGGGGAGCTGGTTCCAGGCCAAACCCAAACCGTTATGTTGCTGCTCAGTCCTCACCTTGGATCTGCCCTGTAGGGCAAAGCTGAGAACGTGCAGGGGTAGGAAGGGGCCATCGGCTGGATGGCACCTGGCTGAATTTCAGCACAAACGGGGGCTGCTTTGATGCAAGCCTGGACTTGCTGGGGGTCAACACTGGCCAGTGAGTGACTGGTGAACGTCTCGCAGCAGTCTGGGATGATGGGGAGGTGATGAGGGAGAGCGAGAGGGGACATGGACCCCTACCCCAATGCCACCACACAAGACCACAGGCGACATCTGTCACTGATGCTTTTAATAGTGTTAATGCTACAGACGCTGCTGGTGCCCTTCTGCCCAGCCCAAGCGCTTCTGTCAGTTAAGCCTCACAACAGCCCTGTGAGGTAGGTGGGTGACACAGGTGGACACCAAGCAAGGAGCCCCAGGGCAGGGTGCAGGCTCCATTCCTCCCCTCTTACAGGGAGGTTTATTTTGTTTAGCCCAAATTAATTTCCACGCGCTGCTGCAAAATGTCCTCTGCTCCAGGGTGATAGCAGTGAATCAGAAAGGTGAGGGCTCTTCCTAGATCACTACTCCCAGGAAAAAACCTTCGCTGCTAACAGGCCTGGCATTTGATTGAAGTTCCCCAAGTCTGTGCTCACTCAGATTTCCATGGCTGAATTCCCATGCTCCGAACACCGGGAACAGCAGTTTTCCTGCTGAGAGTAAACCTGGCTCACTGGAGGAAGCCAAGGCGCTGGAGCTTCAGCGAGGGGCAGAGATGTTTGTGTTTCTTTCAGGATGTGATCAAATGCCTTTCTTGGAGCACAACAATTTCACAAGTGAAGGCAGGAGGCAGCAGAACAGGCACCTATGTCAGATAAAGTTTACACCTTTTCACCCAAGTGTGGACAGGCTGTTCACCCAGAAACCAGTTGGAAAGACAGAGTGAGCGCTGAAGAAAAATTGGGGTTCTCTTCAGGGAATGAGTGCTCATCCCTCATTCCCAGCAGGGCACAACGTCTGGCCCTCAGATCCCCAAGGGGCAGGTAGTATAGACTCAGACCAAGGAGGAAAAAAAAAAGCTTTTAGAGCGTTAGGGTTGGCAATAGGCCAGCGTTGGAAATTTAAGCGCAGGAGGCTCTTGGGCAGCAGGTTAAGCCAACCCCTTCAAGACAAGGCCAGGCATGGAGAGAGCAGGGCAGCAGTCGAGGAGGACCCATTCAAGACACAGCTTTTGTGCACCCTTCATGTGCCAAAGGATCAGCCAGGCAGATGCAGCACAAATGCCCTCCCAGCTGGCACAAAGCCCCTTGGATTTCCTAGGGATCTCGCCCGAAGCTCTGGGAAGTCCATTGCAGCGTGGCCATTTTTGCACTTAGCAGCAGGAGGAAGACAATAACAAACCATGTGTGGTCAAAAGAGAGGTGAGAGCACAAGGCACGAACAAGTGTGAAGGAATCAGAACTGTCTGGGTGAGCCAAATAGCTTACACCGAGCCAGGCAAAGCAGGGACCAGGGAGTGCTCCTGCCACCCAGGAGTGCCAGGGGAAGGTCTCTGCCCCGGCCCTGGGCATAGGGAACGGGGACAGGAGTGAGCAATACCAGGGATCAACACCTTCTCTCCAAACAACAATGAACAAGAGCAAGAGAACAGAGAAAACAAAGGGAGCAGGCTCTATGGAGAAGACCTGATGAATTAATTTAATAGTGGTGTCCCACTTCAGAGGCTTGGAATCACCCATCGTGGCTCTGGAGTGGGACACAGTTTCAATCTGTGAAGCAGCAGCAGAAGGAACTGGACCAAATTAGTTTAAACAGCAAATCCTCATTTCTTTGAAGCAAGCTTGGAGATGAAAGGAGGGTACGAGTATCCAAAGTATTGGAGCATGTCTTCACTCTGGGCTGTTGAGAGCTCCAAAAGAGCCTGGCCTTAAAGGGGGATCCAGACAGATGCAGGTCGAAAAGCTGAGTCTCTTCCCAGTCTCCCCCATCAGCTTCTGCCTGCACAAAAGCGGCTGAAGGACAGGGCAGGAGCTCCAACTAAATACAGGGTTCCTGAAAGCCTCAGCCACCAAACAGCCCTGACTTGCCAACACGTTGATTTAAGCTTCAGTTACCTCTCCCAACTCAACTGGGAAGTGTACATACAAAGGACTTTCCTGGCCAAGCCAATCAGCTGAACAGTAGTCAGGGCTGCAGGAGAAGCGATGTCTCCAAGGGACAGGGACAGCAGTTGAGAAGCTGCTCTTAGAAGCACAGGGGGACACAGCAAGCTGAGCTCCAGGCTGCTGTCCTGGCACAGCCGCATCACTTGGCACCACCACAGCTCCACTGGGAAGGTCCTGCCACAACTCTGGCTCTGCCATGGCACCACACTGGGCTCAGTCCGTTTGCCGTGTAGGTGTGCATGTTTCTTGGCAGCTCACATACAGGGATGATGGCTGCAGGTCCCCCATTCAAGGCTTCCTCTGCCCTCTAGGTGCTCCAAGACCAAGGCTGACGTGATCTGTCAGGAGACAGCTTCTCCAATGCTGGTGACAGGTAGTTGCTCACACGAGGATGCCTCACTCCGCACGTACCATGGAGACACTGCCTGTCCCAAGCTGTGCCACATGCCAACTGCTTCCTCCCTCCCAAGTGTCTGCTTGCTACTGCTTCACCAGAGCCTTCACTGTTCTCCCCAGAATCAGCTCTTCCCTCCCCCAGCCCAGCCCCTCACCACTTCTGCTAGGAGCCACTCTCCTTCTCAAGGAGATGGCCTTCTCGACGTCCACTAGGCCTGAACATCCCTCGCCCTCTTGGTGCTCTGGGGTAGGAACCACGCTCCTGGACCCTCGACCTCTCCCACCTTCCGCAATCCCAGGGCCTGTGGTGGCTCTGCCAGCTGGGAGCTGCTCTGTGGTCGCTGCGGTTGAAGGCCAGGTTCTCCTCCCTGCCCCGCGCCTCCGCCCCCTCCTCTGGGGTCCATCTCTCCACATCACGGTGCTCCTCTTTCAAGTCCACTGCCTCTGTTACTGGTGAGGGGTCTTTAGGGCACAACTCCTTTCTTTCTGCCAAGGTAGCAGCCTTGCTTCTGCTGTGAGGCTTTGGAAACTCCTGGCTGTGCCTCCCACCAGGTCTCCGCTCTGGTCTCCGGCTGAAGCCCCTGGCCCCCCTGGAGCCGTGGAGCAGATGACAGCCTTCCTCCGTTGGTTCCTGCAAACTGCTGCACGACTGCTTGCCCTGGCCTCTGGGGCTGGGCCTCTCCCCTCTGTGCCTCTCCCTCTTGCTGTGCTGCTCCCTGGGCACAGCTGGCCTTTCGGGCCGCCCAGGGTCTGCCCTGGCCTCCGGCCCCTCGGCTGGCTCTGGAGCTGAGGCTTGGCTGGGTGGCTGGGGCGCATCCACAGGGCTTGCACTCACCGGTGGCTCAGAGGCAGCAGCTGCTTGGCTTGGATCGACAGCAGCTGGAGGCTGAAAGAAAGAAACCGCTAGTTAAGAAAGGGACAGGGCAGCCCCACAGCAGATGACAGCGCTCGGTCCTGCAGTCCAGGCCCCCCCTCGCTGGGTCTCTGTCCCCAGTGCCATACCGCCTGGAGGCTGATGAAGTAACGGTTCCTCTCTGCTTCAGGGTCAATGATGCCTCCTTTCTCTTGCTGCCTCTTGAAAATTAAGCGCAGTTCTTCTTGGTGCTGCAGCGTCTTGGCATCTGGCCTGTACGGCTCCTGAGCAGCAGAAACCAAGGTGGGGTAAGGGCTCTATCGACACCTAGCATGAGTGGGCAGCTGGCAGTGCCAAAAGCTACTTCCCAAACCCCCCTCTGATCACACAAGAAACAGGTGATACAGAGCTCATTTTATAGTCTAGGAAAGAAAACTCGGGGCTGTACAACTAAACATGCTCCATGTGGATACATCAAACAATCTGGAGACACCCTCCTAGGTTTTATGAACTGCCCTTTGGATGGGCCACCTAGGGAGGACCTGAGAGGGTGCAGCGTGTGGTGAGCCCCCATCTCTTACCAGCAGGTGCTGCGGGGGTGGCGCTGCCTTCAGAGCAGAGAGATCGTAGACCAGGGTCTCTCGGCAGACGGGGCACTGCACACCGATTTCCTGCAGGGAGGCAAGAGGTAAAACCAAGCCCTGTCAATGGCCCAGCTCAAACGCTGCTGGATAATCCCCGGCCTGGAAGTGGAATGGGGTGGCCGCCTTCACTCTTCAGCCAGGGCAGGGCAAGCCAGGGGGTTTCCAGAAGCATGAAAGCAGCCTGATGTCTCAACAACTTCTACAGAAGGTGTCTCCACCACAAGGCACACCAGGATTTGTGCTCCAGCAGCTGACCGCTGTGGGAACCACCTGTCAGCACATACGGCTCCAGTTCTCCTTAGCCTAGGATCTATTTTTCCCCACTCCAAAGTGGAGCGTGTCATCTAGGCTGTGCCTCTTTGAAAGGGTTCTGTAGGAAGGAGCCTTTGACTTGTTTCACGCTCAGCCGTGCTGTTTGCTCTCTGGCTGACAACTGCTCCAATAGCTGGAGATCACTTGGTCTAATCACTGCTCTGATTCTCAGCACAGGCATGACAGTGACCGTGCTTCCAGGTCAGGCTCTCCCCTCACTCTGTGTCCCAAAGTGGGTGACAGAGATGTCACAAGGGCCTGTGCAAGGGACGGGGGAGCAGCCCAGGGACCAGTACCTGTTTAGGGGATGGCACCGGGTGCTGCTCTCTCTCCTCCTGTTGCATGAGGATCTCCTCCTCCATGTGCTGGGCATAGCGGGCCAGGCAGTGGGAGTGGAAGTAGTGGTAGCACTGGGTCTTTGTGAAGGCTTCTCTCTCCTGTAGAGGAGAAAGGGCAGCTTTAAAGGGTTTCTGAGCACAGGGTTGTGTAGCCTCCCCAGCTGAGGTGGGTTTTCACTACTATGTCAGTGCTGGCAGTGGGGAACTAGCACTATTGCTGGCAGACACATAACATCTTCTCCTGGGCTTCGTCTCTAGCTCCTCAGCTCTTACTGGGACACTGCCCCCCATTCCAAGAGTGAGAAATACTCCTAATGTGAAGCTGCAAAGTTTTTGTGACTGATTTATCTGTGTATGCTCCTGTGTCAGCAGCAATCTTCTCACCCAATGCGTTCTTCCCAAGCAGGCATTGCCTCTCCTTGCAACCTGGACAAGGCAAGCTCCCCTGTCCTCACAGACCTCAGCACCCGCACAGATGTGTCCCGGTCTCTCCTGACCGCCTCTGTGCTGAACTCCAGGTGAGGTTTGACCAACACAGGGAAGCTGAGATGCACCAGCAACTATCCCCAGACTGTACCCACTCCCTTGGAAACACTCCAGAGTCACTCACTGCCCCTGTACCTAGCTTCTGTAGATGGGTATCTTCAGGCTGACTGGGAGAGTAGCACATACTGCCTTAGGAAGGTCCATGCTGAGTAGGACTGCCTACAGACGGGGTTGCAGGGGACTGCTAATTGCTTGATCTCAGGCTGATACACCAAGCTTTGAGCCCCAGCCTCCCTGTTCTCTTGTCTCACTTCCCAGCCAGGTTGCAGGGCCAGGCAACATGTTACTACCTGGAATCCATAGAGGCAGATCACGCACTGGCCATGAGGAATGTTGTTGTCAGTGAGAATCTCCTTCCCCTTCTGTGGAAGCATTAAAGCAAACGTTTTACTCGCTGGCCTGCCCATGGGCGCAGAGCTCTCCCACCCCTGGGGCAATTGGGAACCAGTGTCTGTGGCTGGTCACTCCCATTCTCACCTCAATTAATTCATAGAGAACTTCTGTCCCCAGCCTGGCTTCAGCAACACTTCTGAGCGTCTGAGAAATCCTACAGCAAAGCAGCAGCAGCAATACTTAACACAAGTTTAGCCACACCTTTTCACTCTCCCACATACCTGTCACCCCACTAAGATGACAGGAGGAAGAAATAGAGCACTGCCCTTCTTCAGACTTTGCCTGCAGCGTGGGACAGGCACATGTGCACACACAGATTCCCATGCACCCCATAAAACAGTGCAGGCAGCCTTTGTCCTCAGAGGACTTGCAGGAGCACATTTGCTTAAGCTCACCCAGCACCTTTCAGTTTTGGTAAATCTCAGGCTTTGTTGATCTGACAGCAGCAGATCTGCTGGGAGCCACGTTAGTCCTTTGCTGCCAGCGGGCACCGGGGTCTCTCTGCACACACCATGCTGCACCAAGGGCAGGAGCACAAAGGCAACAACAGGCTGCCCGAGGGCTTGGTTCAGTCCCACCACTGTCAAAGCGGGACCAACAGCTTCAAAGGCCCAGGGGATTTAGATTACGATTCAGGGGAACCACAGAAGAACAACCATAGGGTGGATCCCTCAATGTCAAACTCTGCACCAGTGGCTCCCATGAGATTTAAAACAAGGTGATTTAGGGACCCGTGTCCATCTCGTAACAGGACACAGGGAGTCAGGTGAATTTGACAGAAGGCTTTTCCACCAGTTCTGCCTCCCAGATCTCCAAAGAAAAGGATCGCTCTCTCCCCTCCCAACACTCACTTTTGAATTTGCTCATCTGACAGTCCCCGTGGGTTCCTGATTGAGATTTCCGGAGCTTTGTTGGGATACTAGAAAAAAAACCGAAACAAAACCAAAACAAACACCCAAAGCACAAGAAGGAAGGCAGAGAGAGCCGGGGCAGGGAGGAACGGGAGCACGGGGGGGCTGGCAGCCTACCTGGGGCGGCACGGAGAGCAGCAGGGTGAAGCGGACGTACTGGGAGTCCTGGTCCTGGCCCGTGGCGGGGTGCAGGGTGATGCTGATCTCCCAGGGCTCCCACCTGCGGGGCAGGCCGAGGTGAGGGGGTGGCGGCGGGGCCGGGCCGGGCCCGGGGGTTGTGTGTAAGGGGGGGGGATGTGGGCCGCGGTACCGACCTGCCGCGGCCCCGTGCCACCCGCAGCTCCTCCAGGTAGATGGACTCCAGCACCTCCACCTCCGCCGGCAGCACCCTGCGGGAACCGGGCGGGGGTCAGGCCTGGGCTGGCGGTGGGAGACACCGGGACCAGGGGAAGAGTTTGGGAGGGGAGGGGGGTTAGGACGTTACCAGTCCGTCGCCTCCGCCTCCTCACCGGCCGCCGCCATCTTCCCGCGCGACCCGGAAGCGGAACCGGCGCGAGGGCGCACGCGCACGCGGTGGCGGGGG